GGTCCTTATCACCAGCTGTGACTTAATAACCTTAGCTAGCTTAGCTTGTGAAGCTAATGTGTTGCTAACATTCGATAAACCTTGGTCCTTATCACTTAGCTACTTTAGCAAACTTAGCTTGAAAAGTTATTAACCTGTCTCGCATTGATCAACTGGTCTGTCGAAGCTAACGTAGCTTGTGAAGCTTAAAGCTTGGTCCTGATCACGAACCAAAGTTAAACACGTATCTCTGATCTCTGACGACTTCTTTATGTCTACATACAGTATAAAATATACTTTTATAGTAACGCAGAGTATACGTTGTACCACGGTTAGCAAAGGAATCGGATCAGCCTCAAATCTGAAGATTCAAAAACTGAGAAACAGAAACAAGATGTTGAATCTAAGGATGAAATTTATTAACAGACAAGCTTCTTTCATACGAGTGAACTAATGTTCTTCACCTAACTTGGCAGCAGTTGGTTAAACCAATGAAACACTGGCGTTCCAAACCAAACAGTCTTTAGTTACTTGGCATCTGAAAATGTAAAATTCCTCAGATATTTCAGTCGACACAGGTTCAGACTGATAGAGGAGTTTGGAGCTCGGTCAATTAGACATTTCTTTCTCTTTTTTCCTCAAGAGCATTTTATGCAACTTTCCCACATTTGTATCAGGTCAGATCGGCACTTCATCACTTTATTTACACATCAGACATTCTTCACATGCTTTATTAGGAGAGTCTCGGATCGGGCGAACGGACGACTCCTCGTGTGTGAAAGGCCAAAGGCACAAACGGCAGGTAAGTGCTGGAAAAGGGCATTTTTTTGAGTATAATTCAATAATGTTTCAATAGCATTTCTGTTACACGCAAACTTTTTACACCGAGATCAGTCGAAGATACAAAATCTGAAGAGGGATAAAAAATAGAATGGGCGATAAAGACGTGAACACGGCCGCTGTCTGTTCTGTTCGGTCTCTCGGACGCATCTCGTTCAACAACACTACACATGTTTCAGTGAGTTACAGAGCAACACCTCCGTGTTTATCTCCCCCTGTTTAGTCTTTAACAGTCCAACAGTCTTCGGTATGCAGCCTGACAGACCACTTGAGAGTGAAGAATAATGTCTGTTGCTGAGCAGTGAGTTTAGTCTCCGTCAGCTGAAATAACAACTCTCTCCCTCAGCGTTAACAAATCTGTCGTTTCTCAAAGTGAAGGGCAGGAAGTGTCTTTCTCTCGTGTCGTCTCTCACCTTTCTTTGCTACCTGCAGCCACAAGCCTCCACCACCATGTCCTCGTACTGCTTGTACACCACGTTATTGGACGAGTCGATGTAGAGTATACTGATGGGGGTGAGGCGCGTGGGGACGCAGCAGGTGGGCGGCGCTGCCTCTGGGTCCATGGAGTTGATGAGGGTCTGTATGATGGCGTGGTTGGTCGGCTCCAGGTGCGAGCGGATGGGGAAGTCGCAGGCGCCGTCACAGTGATACGCGTTGTACTCCAGCGGAGCGATGATCCAGTCGTCCCAGCCCATCTCCTTGAAGTTCACGTGGAGGTGTTTCCGATTGCAGCGCGGCCTCGTCTTCACCACCTGGTGTTGGGGGATGGACTGCGGCTGCTGCAGAGGCTTCTTAGCCCCCCTGGCGGCAGGAGCTCGCCGCATTCGTCTCTGGGTGAACAGGTACTCGTAGACGGTTTTGTTGTCGTGGCCTGACCGGGCTTTGATCTCGTTGTAAAAAAGGTCACGCTTCTTGCTTTTGCCAAACGCCAGGAAGAAGGCCTTTTCCTTGTTGGTCCTGCCGAGCCGTGCGAACCCGAGCGTGCGCAGATCCATGGGCCGACCGCCTCTGTGCTCCAGGGCCTCCAGTTCAAAGCACAGCTGCTGGGAGTGCTGGTGCTGCTGGTGTTTTAAGCCCTTGAAGATTTTCCATATGTCAAACACTTCCCATCTGCTGCCGAATCCGCTGAGCAGATCCTCAGTGGTCTTAGTCTGGAGCACAGCAGCCTTTTGTTTACCTGAGGCGCAGGTGTACAGCTTCAGGCATGGGGATGAGCTTCCTCCACCCCCGTCTCCTCCTCTGCCTCCGTCTGTGGCCATAGATCCCATTGAGGCTCTGCGGGGGTCAGACAGGCGCTTCCTCAGGATGCGTAGCTCGGCCCCCAGGAGCCCGTCTCGTTCCAGGGAGCTGATGTTGAAGTGATACCTCTGCCGCCTCAGCTGGGGCCCGCGCTCATCTGAGACGGAGAAAGAAAGACAAAGAAATGTGAGTCAAACCAACACACAGAAGTGGACGAGCACACAGAAAAGTACAATCACTCGCAGACACACATGAAACATGAAAAGTGCAGGTGCAAACGTGACGGGGGTGAAACACAGGCCGGCGTGTTCAGAGGAACAGATGTAAATGCACATGTGAAGGCAGACATGCAAACATGCACTCACACTGGAGCTGCAGCTCTCCGTCAATTCAGCAGGAAGTCAGTGAAGTGAACATTTATTTTAAAACGGAAATAATCAAAAGATTTTAATCAATATTTTGGTTTAAGCTTCACAAAAGTGAGAATTTGATGATTTTCTTGATTTGCACATCTGAACACATCACATGTGTAACAACATGTTTAGTTATTTTCTGACGATTAACACAACGATAACTGAATCGCAAAGTACACACATGTACCACAAACACATGTACATATTATAGTACAGGTAGACGACGCCCACGTCGGTGATGAGGACTGACGTACGTGTGTCAGACTAAATTCTTTAGTCCCTGGATCACAAAGTGAAACTAAAACTAACGGATCGAATGAAACGTGAACAAACATGAAGCTTCAGAGGAAACGACATTAGAAGCTGGTAGTGTGGGACAGCAGGCGTAACCATAGCAACAGTGATGAGTTTTCAAAGTAAAATGTTTTCACGTGGACGCAGCCTGAGTTCACGTGGTCTTCATCAAGTAGCCGTGCTTATTTCATTCGTGTGTTTAACGTGACCAAAGCGTAACTTGAGACTAAGTTTCATCGGTGGACGTTTAAGCAACGTGGCAAACGAGAGAAGAGTCAACGAAAGGAAAGAAAGAAAAAAGGGAGGAAGAGGGTGAACTGAGTTAATGTGAGCGAGTGAGAGACGTGTCAGGTCATCAGTTACACCTCCAACATGCGGAGGAGGTCACCAGTGATTTGCAGAGAACACGGTAAACAAATAAAGTCCAAATTAAAAGTACATTAAGTGCTTGAAATGTAAACCTTTAGTGGAGCTAGAAACATTAAACTCTGGTCATTTAAACATTGTTTTAAACAGTTTTACACCGTAAGGATAACATTACACAGGGGGGCCGCCCTACTTGTGGTCGTGAGGAGTGTTTATTTACCCTCCTGAGGCCGTAAAGCAGCAGTGCTGCCAACCAGTGACCAGATGGCTGGAAACACACACAGTCACACATACACTTACACAAACCAACATGCAGCAGCACGCACACAAATAAATACATAAGATGCTTGTGCACAGGCATGTAGCTTAATAGTCCTCAAACTTCAGTTCCAGTCCAAAATGTGTCTCACTTGTATTAAACAGTGAAGAATGCTACGCTAGTCTTCATCAGGACAGAGCTGGAAACATGAGTCTCAAAGAATTAAAGAAACGTGTCATGTAAAGAAAACCAATGATTCCACTGCTTCAGTAAATTCACAGTAATATGTCACTTTTAAAACGTCTCTGGTTCAGGAAGTGTATCTCTTATTCATTTTATATCCTGGAGCAGGACAATATATAAATATTAATATGTAAGAAAGTCCATAAGTGGATAATGTAGCCAGGCTAACTTCTGATAACCGGCGGCTGGTTTTCTCTTCTCTGAGCATGATATCAATCTGAACATCTAACTCCAGAGAGCGAAGGCTGAACTGCTCCACATTCCACTGACATTTTGATGTGTGATGGTTCTGGATCTGCAGCAGCTTCCTGCAGCTTTGAAGTTCCAGCTCCGTCTCTTTTCCCATCATCCCCTCAGTGTACCAGCAGCTGACCTGCTCCACTCCCCTCCAGATGCTCTCTCTACCTCATGGATCCCCAGAACAGACATGTCCACATTTGGACAATGTTGTGTTCCCACAGCACCGCCCTCGTCCAGTGACCTCCAGACGGGTGTTTGACCCTCCAGTCCTCTCCCTCACATCTCCACGCCCTCCTCCTCATTCAGCATCAGGTCTCATCCCTCTCCTCTAACCTTTCCCTGGACCCTGCACCATCACCTCCTCTCTGCCCTCGCTCCTGTCGCCTCCAACTCTTCCCCTCAGTTACAGCAGCTTCTCTGCTGCAGCCAGTGAGCAGAGCTGATGTCATCAGGTGATACATCTCATCACAGAGGCACTTTCAGACTGTGATGCTGCAAATGACTCTGAGAAGTTTGTCCTCAGAGGGACATGGACTTCCAGGGCTTTGTTTGACTGTCACCTCAGAGGCACCACAGGAATGTTCCTGGGTGATGCACATGTTTATTCTGTTCTTGGCCTAAAGAATAAGGTTCTATCACTGTCTTAGTTGAATCCTCATCATTCATGATGAACCAGAACTGTGAAGCTAAAAGGTGATTTAGAAACACACTTTGCTCATAGAAGCTCCAGGAGATCCACAGACTCCAGGAGCATCAAGACAACAAGAGGAGTTGAACTCAGAGAGGCTGTGTTTACCTTGTCCTTTATCCACGAAGCTGGTGATGGTGTTGGCCAGACCCGCTTCGTGCAGAGCGCTGCTGTTCATGTCTCCGCTGGACAGAGACCAGTACAGAGACAGCATGTAGTCGTGAGGAATCACCAGCGGCTGCTTGTGATGCGTCTCCCGGTCGCTCACTTTCAGGGTTTTGTAGCTGGATCCTCGCTGCGCCACCGGAGCCGCCTTCCGATCATGCTGCTGCTTTTGCGCAAAGGTTGGAGCCCCGGTGCGCACTGGAGCTGCTGCTCTCTCTGGAGCCCCGGTGCGCACTGGAG